CTCAACTCAGGATCTGGCTCAAGATACCACCTCAAAGTTCTAATGAATCCCATCAAGTATAGGCCAAAGGCCAGTTTACAAACTTTCCATAATCATAATTCTCATCCCCCCTCCCCCATTTTTTAATCCATCAACATACATCCCAAGGCTACAGGCTCACCATGAGAAGTCCCACTGTACTTAAGTGTATGTAGTGCCCTAGGGCCCACTCAGATTCCGTAGCTGGAGCCGTGGAACTGTAAAGACAGGCACAACAAGCCGCGTTGCGGTTACGTGCACACTGGCATTCAACCAATCACACAGAATTTATGGCACTTCCACGCCCACTTTTGGGAGTCCCTGACTGAGGCCTATAGGTGAGGCCTTAGAAGGAGATCAGCCTTCCATTTCTGTGTTTGGGTCAGGCCTGGCTGGGTTTAACCCGTGCCCCGGGGGTATACTTGTTCCTGAAGTCTTGACTGGTTTCTCTGATTCTACCTCTCCTTTTGAGAACCGCAAGGTCAGCAGTTTGAAACTACCAGCTGATCCATGGCAGAAAGAGGAGGCTTTCTGCTCCCATAAAGATTTGCAGCCTCGGAAACCCTGTACAGGGTTGCTGTGAGACTCCACAGCACATAACAACAACAACAACAACCACCTCTCCTTTTGAGTCTGGTCAGGAGAGGTGGTTGTGGTGGCTGGCTGCCCCTACTCAGAGGAGGAGAGACCATCAAATGTGGCGTTGGCACGCTGTCTTATCCACCTAGAGGAGCTGGCCATTAGTCACTTCCCGACTATGATACGGTGGTTCAAGGAGCCAGCGCGGTTGGTTTCCCAGTCAGGGAACCAAATGTTAAAGCAGTTTTAGATTCATGGTCAAAGAAACCGAGACCACTAGTAGAGGTGAAACAGTTTCAGATTTTAGTAAGCTGGCTGACTCAGAGGAGCTAATTTCTCCAGAATCTGTGCCACGAATGGAGGGTCAGAGTCCCGGGAGGGGCCAGGCTGAATACATGTTTGAGGGCAGGGGGAAAACCTGGGGGATTGGTCCCATTTGGTGGTCTGATTAGCATTTTAGCTTGCTTCCTGGGCTGGAGGAGGCAGTGACCTTTTCCTGTTCAGTTTAACATAAAGATAGAATTTTGGGAAAAGAAACATTTTTGCTTTTGATAGAGGGAAAGGGGAACAAACAGACATTAATCCTTCTGGAACATTCCATCTTTGCTGATCGTTACCTAACTTCAAGACCTAATGACTAAGCCGACTCCAGTTTGTTGAGGTCAGTAGACCCATGCTATCACTTGCAGTTAGCAGCATTAGGGTACCAGGGCTCCTTCCATAGAAGACTGTTGTTAAGTTTCAAGGAGTCAGTTCTGATTCAGTGACCATGTACAGTGTGTTGGAGGAGTGGCTGGTGGATTTGAACTGCCAGCCTTGCATTTCAACCTAACTTTGCAGTTTAGTGCTTATCCTACAGCGCAATACAAGAAGCTGGGTTCTATGAAGAAAAACGTGGTGTCAGGATTGGAAGAAGACTCATTAAGAACCTGCGATATGCAGATGATACAACCTTGCTTGCTGAAAGTGAAGAGGACTTGAAACATTTACTGATGAAGATCAAAGAGCACAGCCTTCAGTATGGGTTGCATCTCAGTGTCAGGAAAACAAAAATCTTCACCACTGGATCAATAAACAACATTCTTATCAACGGAGAAAAGATTGAAGTTGTCAAGGACTTCATTCTTCTTGGATCAACTATCAACACTCACGGAAGCAGCAGTCAAGAGATCAGATGACGTATTGCATTGGGCAAATCTGCTGCACAGGAACTTTTTAAAGTGTTGAAGAGCAGAGATGTCAGTTTGAGGACTAAGGTGTGCCTGACCCAAGCCATGGTATTTGCAATAACCTCATATGGATGTGAAAGCTGGACAGTGAATAAGGAAGATTGTAGAAGAGTTGATGCCTTTGAGTTGTGGTGTTGGAGGAGAATACTGAAAGTGCCATGGACTGCCAAAAGAACCAATAGATCTGTTTTGGAAGAAGTGCAGCCAGAGTGCTCCTTAGAGGCCAGGATGGCTAACCTTCGTCTCTCATACTTTGGACATATTATCAGGAGGGAACAGTCGCTGGAGAAGGGCATCATGCTGGGTAAGATGGAGGGTCAGAGAATAAGAGGAAGACCCCCAACAAGATGGACCAGCCAGGTGACATCATTGATGGCGTCAAGTGTGGCAGCGGTAGTGAGGTTGACCCAGGATCGGACTTTGTTTCGTTCTGCTGTGCATGGGGTCGCTATGAGTCATTTCAGACTCGATGGCACCTAACAACAACAACCATCTCATTGAAGAGCAGGTTTTTAATAATTTTTGTGGGAGTCATTTATCATAACTTTTATTTTATTGGAACCCAACACCCCAGCTGTGGTGACATCTTGATGCATCATAATGGAAAGGTTTAAGGTACATAACTAAGTTGAAGTATAAAACGCTGTTTTTCTAGGCCTTTTCTCTTGTGCTTTGATTTGACAGAGACTTGTATTTATTCTTTAAATATCTGACTTACCCCACTTTTCACGCTTTAGGATTTAATAGTGGTTTTTCTCACATTGCACATTGTACAGATCATGGTGTTTGTTTGGGATCAAATGTCTTCTCTCCTGTTTTCAGTGCAGCAGACAGGTTTATGCTAGAAGACATTGTCGTAGCAGGAGCAGATTTGGATTGATTAATGGTTTTATGTGCCGAGGACCAGCCTCGACCCTTTGTGAGAACTCGGAGGGGGGTACGGATTCGGTAAATGATAAAAAAATCCTCAAAGAGTCAATGGGTCATTTTGAGTCTCAGGCAGATGGTGGTAATGGCTCTCTTCTGATGACTCCCTTTCTGACTGCTGCCTGGACTGTTTATTTCAAAATTGTTGCTTCTTATATCCCATTGAGAACATACTATGATCTCATAACAGTCACATACAAGCAGTTACAAATCAATCAAATATTATATTGTTACATCAACGGTACAAGAGGAACACAAGGTCACCAAACATTCCTGTGTCTCTATACTCCTTAGTTACAGTGATAACGTCTGCCTTCTGTGAGGGACTCTGTTTCTCTCTAATCCTCCCTAAAATGTCTAGTTTAGTTTTAAACAAAGTTCTACGTCTTAATTTCTAACTTTACCAACATCTATTACTTTCTATAGATTCATTAGTTACAGATTATAATCAAAACCATAATTTTTCCTATAACTGGTCATACATATAATTGATCAAACAATAAAAACAAGAACATAAAAGTACCCTAAAGTTTCATAGTTAAGAAAAATCAGTAATTCTCTCATGCTAACAATTTCTCAAAACTTCTAATCAAATTCCTGCCTCTGTTCCCAAGCTCTCACTGCCCTTGACTGTCTCCTAAGCTGCTTTCTAAAAGCCTTAATGTCCTTGACTAAAACCACATGGAATGTTTCTTACAATTTTAAGCTTGAATTGCTAAAACTTTAGCTAGTGTGGTTATATCTAATGTTAAAACTTATTGTTAATGTAAAAAATAAATTTTAAAACTACATAAGATTGAATATGGTGTGAAAATTAATGTTAATGTGAAAGGCAACTATTATAACATGAGGTTTGTTTAAAGTATCTAATGATTATGCAAGATTTTCTAAAACTTCTTATAAGGAAATCAGAAATAAACTATTTTTCCAAGGGAAAGCTAGAAACCGCAGGTCCCCTGCATGAATTATCCCTTGTAGCTCTGCTAACCAAGGGGGGCATTCATTGTCACTCTGCTAAACAATGAACTTTTCATGCATAAGGCTTCTCGCAGTTCTGCTCCTTGGCAGGGTGGCGTCCACCATTTATGTATGATTTTTTTGTAATGGTAGCATACCACGTCTGCAACAGGTATATGCCGTTGTTGTTATTAAGTGCCGTCGAGTAAGTTCTGACCCATAGCGACTCTGTATAGGGTTCCGGGGAGCGGTTGGTGAGCTTGAACTCCCAACCTTGCAATTCAAACCGACTTTGCCGTCCTGCGCATTAACCCGTAGTGAAACTTGACTTCTGCAAGTCTAGCAAAACCCACTTGAGGTTGGTGCAAACTGCACTCACAGTGAAAGCAACAAGCAGCAAGCAATGTTTTAATAAACAATGCAGAGTACACTTCTCAGAAGAGGAGACGCGGGCATCCGTCATGAGTGAGAGAACGCAGACTTTCTGTTCTTTGTAGGGTTTTGGTTCGTCTCGCTCAAGTTTAATTCTGATTGGCAGAAGTGTCTAGGTGGCACATATTCTTCCTTTGCATCTTCTTCTCTTTTTTGGTCTATTTTTGCTCTGTATTTCAGAATGTGTGATGGGCTCAGTTTCCCGGAATTGTTGATTCAAGTACCAGGTGTTGGGGTGCGCCATGAGCCTGGCGGTTAGGTTCCTGCTGTGTCCCTAACCGTCGTGAGTATTGTCTCTGAGTTTTGTGTGGCCATTGCAATGAATGATCAAACTCCACTGAGTAAATTCAGGAATGGTTGGTGCCAATTTGGTAGAGAAGGGAGGATAGAGGCATGTCTGACCTCCGCCTCATAGGAATCGGCCAAGGACTGATGCTGAGGGCGAGTCTCTTTTCTCCTCCCTTGTGAAGTCAGTGGCCGTCAGATGTGTCTCCATATTCTTTTTTTTTTTTTTTAACAAGTATGTCCCGATGGTCAACCCCCTCTGAAGTACCCACTTTCCCCGCGAGCGACAGCGGCGTTTCCCAGTGCCCCACCCCACCCCCGCAACCCGATTGCGCACGCGCTCCAGCACCGACGGCGCAAGGCAGCGTCAAGGCGCGAGGGGCGGATCTTCTCCGGTGTGCTTCCTTTATTCCGCCTCCTCACTCTTATCTTCCAATCACCTTCCTGTCCGCGCTCTTGTTGACTTCCTGTCTGGGCTCGTGGACCGTTTCCGCTTTCCGTCTGGGCGGTGGACTAACCGAGCCCTTGTCAGGTTTCGAGTCTGTAGCACAGCGAGTCGGTGCCGGTAGCTGCATGGCCGCGCTGGTGGAGCTGGGCTTCGCGGAGAAGGCGCCGGCATGGCGTCTGCGCAGTGCGCTCTTTCCCAGCAAGGCGGGCGGCCGGCCAGCGTGGCTGGGCGAGGCGGGGCTGCCCGGGCCCGCGGCACTATCCTGTCCGCGCTGCGGCCGTTCGCCCGCCTTCCTGCTGCAGCTGTACGCGCCGCTGCCCGGCCGCGCCGACGCCTTCCACCGCGGCCTCTTCCTCTTCTGCTGCCGCCACCCGGCCTGCTGCGCCGGCTTGCGCGTTTTTAGGAACCAGCTACCCAGAGAAAATGACTTTTACTCCTCTGAGCCACCTTCGGAGGAGTCTCCGCCTGAGACAGGAAAATCTGTGTGTCTCCAGCTCAAGTCTGGTGCTCACCTGTGCCGGGTGTGCGGCTGCTTGGCCCCCAAGACCTGCTCCAGGTGCCACAGGGCACACTATTGCAGCAAAGAGCATCAGACCCTGGACTGGAAGTGGCACCGGCAGACGTGCGGGCTCCAGGATGCGCGTGAGTGTTACTACAAGAAAAAGTCTAGCACTTGGATCATTTTCATTACTGGCCACGTGAATGTTACTGCAGCTGCCCTGATTCCATGAAGTCGAGAAAAACCATGGTTTTCTTTTATATTTCCCTAACTTTGCTCTCATTTTTGATTTGTGCTCGACCCCTTGCGTCCCTAGGGGTTCCCCCAAGAACCAGCCTTTAAGAGGGTAGGGTATCTGATGGTAGTCTAGAGCATAATGAAACTCCGCTGTGTAGACATTAACGCAACACTCATTTTGTACTGTGTGAAAAAAGGAAGAGACCTTGCTTTTTTCATTGGTGTGTTTCTATGCAATGAAAATTACGAAGTGTAAAGACATTCAGAAAATGCAAGCATATATTTAAGGAAAACATCTACCCATTCCTCATTTCCCTCTGTGGCCAACTATTGGGTTCATTATTTCTTTGCTGCCTTACGACATTTTGTTTTTGGAGTACCCTTGTTTCTATAAAAGTTAGAGCTAGAGAACTGAGAGTTTCTACGGCATTGTTTACCCCAACTTGTTTATGCTGCTAGCCTTGACGTATCACATGTGTGTCAACCCTTAATCTAAAATGCAAAAACTAAATGTGTTCATTTATTAAGGAAAAACTGTTCAGATAAAGAATGAGAATTGTTTGGGAAAAAACCAAGCCCATTGCATATCAAGTCGTTTCTGACTCATAGCAACCCTGTGAGGTAGAACATAGGGTTGCTAAAACAATAAATCTTTACAGTAATAGCTTCATCTTTTTTCCACAGTGCGATTGGTGGGTTTGAACCATCATCCTTACAGTTAGCCCAATGCTTAACCCACAGCATCACCAGGGATCATTAATTTATTTAGGAGAACTGATAAGATGAGCACTGTGATGTGTTGTTAAGTGCTGGAGAGTCAATTCTGACTGACAGCAACCCTGTATAGGGTTTCCAAGGAGCAGCTAGTGGGTTTGAACTATGATCTTGTGGTTCAAACTGACCTTCCAGTTCAGCGCATTAACCCTCAGCGCCACACCAGGACTCCTGTATGTTGCTGTTAAGTACTGTCAAGTCAGTTCTTACTCACAGGACCCTGGGCATCGTTTCCAAGGAGCGGCTGGTGGGTTGAAACTGCAGCCTTGTAGTTAGCAGTCCGATGCTTCTTAGAGCACCACACCAGGACTGTGATGTGTCGAGAATAGGAAATGCGAATTTCCCTCAAAATGGAATGACTACTAGCGATGCTAATGACTTTTGTTGTAGGTGCTCTGGAGGACACAGTTCCAGATCACAGCTTCCTTTTCCCAGAATATGAGATTGTGATCGAAACAGAAGACGAGGCCCCTCATGAAGTTGTGGAAGATGAGGAGGATACGGACCACGTGGGGAGTGTTGGTAGGGCGTCAATCTCAGAACTTGTCTCAGTAATGCCTGAGGGGAAGCTCTGTGTGTCCAGAGAGGAGCAGGTGGTCAAGGTCTGTGTGGCCTCAGGCACAGCCCATGCCTGCCTCCATTCTTGGCATTGGTTAGGCATTCTGGCTGCCTGATGATTCTAAAGAGTGCCTACCACCCTAGGGTGATTGGTCCCTTTATTATCATTTGGCTATAAATTGAGCCATGAGGGTGAGTTGGTTACATTTGAACCCATGGTTGCTGCCACTGTGGGGGGTGTGTGTGTGTGTGGGGGGTGTTTGTCTTCCTCCTTTTTGCTAATCCTCCGATCCTCCGCTTTACCCAGCTTGCTGTCCTCCTCCAGGTACTGGTCCTTTCTGACAGCATGTCCATAGTATGAGAAACAAAGTCTCACCATCCTCACTTCTACGGAGCTTTCTGGCTGTACATCCAAGACATATTGGTTCTTCTGGCAGTCTCCACGATACTTTCAATATTCTTCCCCAGTACCATAATTCAAAGGCCTCAACTCTTCCCAGGCTTTCCTTGTTTATTGTCCAACTTTCACACGCTCATACTTGAGGCTGTTGCTTGGGTAAGATGCTCCTTAGTTCTCAGAGTAACATCTTTGTTCTTGAACACTTCAAGAGGTCTTTTGCAACAGATTTGCCAGATGCAGTACATCCTTGGATCTCTTCACTATTGCTTCCGTGAGCATTGATTGTGGGCCCAAGCAAAACAGAGTCTTTGACAACTTCAGTCGTTTTTCATTTTATCATGATGTTATTTTTTGGTCCAGTCATGGGGATTGTTTTTCTGTGCATTGAGGTGTTATCTATATTGTTTATCAAAGACGTTCAGTTGGTATTGTTCTTTCTCTCATGGTCTTGCTCTCCTGCCACAGCTCTTTGTTCCTGGGCTTTTAGTGCCCATCAAGCCTGTTCTTAAAGTGGGCACCAAGTTCATGTGGAATATACTTGAGCTCTTATGGAGTTGTTTTTTCATCAGCTTCAGCCTGAACTTGCATATGAGCAACTGATGGTCTGGTCCACACTGAAACCCTGGCTCTGTTTTATCTGATAGTAATGAGCTGCTCTGTCTGTCTCTTCCACAGATGTAGTCAGTTTGATTCCTGTGTTATAGTCAGCATTTATGGTGAAAAAGGTATTTGCATAAATCATTACTCCAGCATTGTTTGTATCAATCACCAAGGCCATATATTCCAACTACCTATCCTTCCTCAGTTTCCAGGTTTCATATTCCAGTTAGCAGTAATTATCAGTGCATCTTGATTGCATGTTTGATCCATTTCAGACTGACTAAGTTGGTGGAATTCTTCATTTTCATCATCTTTGGCTTTAGTGGTTGGTGTGTAAATTTGAACAATAATCACAATGTAGGCATATTGATACTATCCTATCACAGAACTGAGCTTGAAGGTAGATCTTTAAATGCTCTTTTTGATGATGAATGCAGCATCATTCTTCTTCAATTTGTCATTCCTAGCACAGTAAACCATAATGATTGTCTAATTCAGAATATCCAATACTAGCCCATTTCAGCACACTAATGCTTAGGAATTGATCTTTATGTGTTCCATTTTGTTTTTGACAACTTCCAGTTTTCCTAGGCCATACATTTTATCTTCCAATTTTTAATCGATGTTTGGAGTTGTTTATCATTTTGAGACATACGCCATCAGCAAATGAAGGTCCCGAAATCAGTTCTACTCTGGTAGCGTAGTAGTTACAAATCGGGCTGAGAACCGCAAGGTCAGCAGTTCAAAACTACCAGCTGTTCCACGGGAGAAAGATGAGGCTTTCTGCACCCATAAAGAATTACAGCCCCGGAAACCCTGTACAGGGTCGCTGTGAGTCGGAACCAGTTCAACAGCACGTAACAACAGCAGCTCAGAAGCGGTCCACTTCTTCCTGTCCTGTCTTCATCTGGAAACTCTGCTGAAACCTCTCTGTCATCGGTGCTCCCTGCAGAGTTTCCAGCATTACAACAGCAGCCATCCCACCACAGTAGGACAAACTGACAGATGAATGGTGGGGGAGATGTTAGGGGCAATAGGAGTGAAGGTCCGTTTGGGCAGAAAACTTTGACTGAAGTCTTGTCTGAAGCTTCCAGGGAGCAGCTCCAAGGAGCTGGGAATGGATTGTCACGGAGGCTCCTGGTGTTAGAACCAAAGCAGGGGAAGTCCATGGCCATCCTGCCGCTGTGCTGATTCCACAAACAGCATGTGGTTGTTGGTGTTCAGTGCCATCGAGTCGGTTCTGACCCATAACTACCCTTATAGGGTCTCCAAGTAGTGACTGGTGAGGTTGAACCGCTGACCATGCGGTTCAACCTCACTTTGTAGTCCAGCACATGAACCCACAGCACAACACTAGGACTGGGTCCCTTGTATATGTGGTCTGGGCACTAGGTCTGTTTTACAAAATAGTGTTGTGACGTTTCAGGTGACTCGCTTGAGGAAGAATTGGAATCCATGGCAAAGCACGAGTCCAGGGAAGATCAAATTTTCCAGAAATTTAAAATGCAAATCGCCCTTGAACCTGAGCAGGTAAGTTAGACTGCTCCCTCCTGCTTCCTTTGTCTTGCCATGGCCTTGTTATAGGTGTGGTAAAGCTGGTCTGGCCCTAGGAGCCTCAAGAGCCACATTTGCTGACGAGCATCTATATAGGAAGATGTTGGCAAGGCCAACACGCTGGATAGCTGTCGCGTCTAAAGGTCACACCACTCACCTTCTCGGCTTCAGTATTTTGAGGTTTACTACGCATTGAGCACCAGGAGCATGAAGACAAATGCTGTTTAGGGGCAAGTGCTTACATGACCAGCATGTCAACATCTCAACACAAAGACACTGGTTTTATGACTACAGGTCTGCAGCTAGAAGAACCAGGTGGCCTTCCCTCCCACTCAGCACTCTTTTTTTTTTTTTTTTTTTCCCATGCTTCCTGGCTGGTTTTTGCCAAACTTTATATTCAGTATTCTGTATTTGTTTGGTCTTAGTAGGGGGAAAGGGGAGGCTTTTGTAGAATCCCAAGGAAATGTCAGGCACTATACGGCAAGTATTATCCTTTTATTCTGGGTTTAAGCATCTGTCTCAAGTTTTGTTCACTGAGAACACTGAGATTTCAATTTGAAGACACCCTGAATCACCGTAAGAGTAGGAAACCCAGCCACCCTTCTATATAGACCAAATGCTTCATCTCTCCATATTAGATGGCTGGATGACGTTTGTGGAAGATCTTAGTATTGCCTCATTTATTGGAAAGAATTGAATAGGAAGTGGCCTTCAGGGACACTTAGGAGAATTACAACACTAGTAAACAAGTCAAGTCTTACACATTTAATATTTGCTTATTGAAAGCAGTGTCATCAAATCAAACAGGTTTTACTTTTTCCTCACAAGAAACATAAAAATTATGGAGGAGTATTGAACAGGAAATTTTGTTTTTTAAAGTAATGCAATTTTTCCTTTTATGAGTCCTTGGGTAGTAATGACAGAATAGGTTCCACTTTTTGTTTGTGTCTTTCAACAGGGATTTTGGTCCAAAATTTTTTTAGTATCTGCTTCTGCCTCCCCCTCTATCAGATTGGCTGCCTCCACAGCCACCGCCTGTTGGTGCGTCACAACATGGAGGAGGGTACCCCGTTTCCATAGAAGGGAAAAGCCCTCTTTCTTGTTTGCCAACCTGATCACGACCGATTGAGTAGAGATCACTTCGGCTGCTTGAGTAACATTCATGACTTCCACCATATCCGTCTCGTGAGCTGCTGTAATCATCATAATGACTGCTTCCACCATGAGATGGCAGGGCCCTCGTGTAGGTGGAGGACTACGTGAGTGACCATAGCTCTCAGAGCCTCCACCTGAATGGTCTGAATAGAGACCATAGCATCCCTATCACTATAGTCTCTGGATGGATAGTCATCACGTGAACTGGAATGACCATAATCACAATATGTATGTATAATCTCCTGGTGGTGGCACATAATCTCTTGTATCACGAGAACTTGGGTAATCTCTGCTTGAATCACTGTCTTTAGTGGAATTGCCATCATCTCTTGGGGACAGGTACACATCTCTATGAGAGGGCAGCGGTTCCCTTCTTGGCGGTCCTCCATAACTATCTCTTCCATGAGATACAGGGGCTCTGTCTCCCATTCCACTGCTACTGTGACTGGTTGTGAAAGGGCTGATCTTTTAGGAGGAGGACCACAACTTTGTGGTGGTGGTCGTCTTTTTATTGGAAGTGGTCCCCTGGAAGAACTCTTGTTAAAATTCACGGACTAGCCACCATCATCCATGTATCTCCCACATGAAGGGGGTACCCTGGTTCCTTCACTGCCTCCTCTTCCACTTCTAAGGCCTCTTGGTGGGCTTCTGCTTCTTGGAGGTGGTGGGGGTCCACGCCTGTCACTTTCTAATGTTGCTTTAGTGCCTTGTTCCACCTTGATAGCTTTCCCTTCCAAAGACTTGCCATTCACCTCTCTCACTTCATCTTCGGCATCTGCTGGGCTTTCAAAGGTGACAAAAGCAAATCCTCTTGATTCATTGGTTTTACTGTCTTTCATCAAGAGTACTTCAACAATTCGTACACATTTGCCAAATACTGCTTCCAGGGTTTTCTCGTTTGTGTCTTCATTGAGCCCTCCACCGAAGAGCTTTCCAGGGTGATCCGCTCCAACCATCTTTCCCAAGCACTGACTGTTGACATAGTGACAGCTGTTTCCAGCTCTTACTTGGGTCTCCAGATAATTTGTTTTGACTCAGCTCGAGGGCTGCATCAGGGCCACATCAGGGAAAGAAAGGAGGAAGCTTCTAGCACTAGTGCGCAAGGCCACTCATCGGTTTTTCATGCGCCTTCCAGTGTCATCTTTATCCACCGGGGTATTCTCTGTGATTCTGCCAGGATTGTGCCCCTTAGCTTCACGCACCCTATACTTCACGTCAGGAAAGAGAACACTGCATAATTCCCACACCCCAGTCACTGGATTCGGTGCACAGCAGGCCCAGGTCGAGGCCTGCACGCTGAGGCCTTTTCCTCAGTGGATGTGTTTTTGACATAGGGTAGCTTATTACCAAGTCTGCCTTTGATTGTATTTTTACCCAAACATCCAGTGTCTGCCTTTCTAGCCAAGACTCCTGTATGTGTGAGTGTGTGAAGGTAGTCCTGTGGTGGGGACAGAAGTGGGCCTGAGCAAACAGCTAGACCAGGCCCCTTCCCTAATGGTGGAGGAATCTGATTCTATTGAGTGGTATATACAGAGTCAGCTAGAACGCAGGTGTTACTTGTCCTGTGCGGGTTGGTGGGGCGGCCACATGAAGGGACCATTCTTAGGAGCTAGTGCCCTCCCTCATGAGTACCACCAGTGGCAAGTGCGCTGTGGGGTGGGAGCAGCCACAGTTCTAAGCAGTTTCAGGGAGATGGTGAAGCTGACCCAGATTCTGGTTGGTTTCAGATTATCAGATATGGCCGTGGCACTGCCCCCATCTGGATATCTGGTGAAAATGTCCCTCAAGAAGAGGATATTCCGAATTGTCCGTGTGGTTCCAAGAGAACTTTTGAATTCCAGGTATGTCCTTAAAGGTATATAGTCACCCTGGTTACCATTCTAGGCATCAAAACTTTACCAAGTTTGGGTCAGGTGTGCAAGACTCTTCCTAGGACCCTTCCCTGCTTCTCATCAGACTCGGAGATGAGCTCGTTAGCACAACAAAGGAATCCATTTCCAGACGGGATCACACCCACATCTGTAGGCAGTAGGGTCGCAACACATGCTTCCTGGGAGACACAATTTAATCCGTAAGTAGATTATTTTCCACTTTGAGTTTTGTGTTGATACCATGTGCTTCCATTAATGGAAGGCATGTTGAATCAAGGAGTAGTTCTGAAATTTTGTTGTGAAGTATTGAGGGTTTTTAGTAACACATATTATGTGGCACACATGTACGCCTCTGAACTCTGCTCCACTGTCTAGATCTCAATCTAAAACCAAATCCACTGTCGCTGCGTTGGTTCCAACTCACAGTGACCCTATACAGGGTTTCACAGACTAGGGATTCACCAGCGTCCACTGGGTTGGGTGGAAATACCCTTGATTTGTGCGTTCCTGGACTGGGCTACAAGATAGTGTTGTTCATTTGTGTCTTTGGGTGAAAAAGGAATTGGGAAGACTCTCCAAAACTCAGCTCTTTTCTGATGTCACAGAGTTTTCCTCCTTCCGACTAAATTACCAGCCTACGAGGCTCTCAGACCTGCCCCCAGCTCAGCATTCTTCAAACAAAGTAACAAGAGTAGGCTATTCAGGTCTTAGTGACAGGTAAAAGTTTCCCAGATAGAAGTTGGAGTTATCAGTGAGCCTAAGTGGCTTGGCCTTGGAACCTCTTTCTCAGATGGAAAAGGGAGAGGCCAGCCAGATGCAGGAAGGAGGGACCTAGAGAAGGTGGATGATACGGGGGGTGGTTCTGCCTCCAGCACGGTGGCACCTGGCCTGACCTTCACATCCTCTCCCCAGGTCATGCCACATCTGCTCAACCTCCTCAAGGCCGACAGTCTGGGCAGGAGCGTCGACTGGGGCGTCCTGGGCGTCTTCACCTGTGCAGATAGCTGTGCTCTGGGCAGTGGCTACACGGAAGAGTTTGTGTGGAAGCAGGACGTGACGGACACAGCCTAGGATGCTGTTCCGACCCAGGAGCAGGGAAAACCGCTCACTCCTGAGGTTCACTTTGGGTGTTTCCCAAGGAGGCCATCCTGCCAGAGGCACAGGAACATGTCTGAACATGAGACCGTAATGCCCAGTCTGCCCACACTCAGGATGCTGCTCAACCTCAACAGCGCAGACAACACTGCTCAGGATTCTTTACGTATTTACACATTACTAAGTGCTATTGAGTCCGTTCCAACCCATGGCGACCCTGTATAGGATTTCTGAGCAGCGGCTGGTGGGTTTGATCCCGACCTTGCAGTCCAGCAATACCATACCAGTGCTTCCTTTACTATACATGTACATGTACAGAAATAAATCTGAAAAGATGGCCTATCTATGAGTTTGGAATCAGATGAAAGAAATCTGAGAAAATACCGCCGTATCTGTGAATTTGGGATCAGATGAAATGGCTTTATGTGTGAATTTTTATAATTATATACATACTTTTGTCAAATTATTCTAAGCGGTTTTCCCCCCAAAATTTGCAAGGTTAACATTAAAATTTTTAGATAAACACATCCAGTCTGATGCCAACTGACACCCGAGCCTGGTGGTATTTATGACGCTGGTCCCGGAGCCTGTGAGACAGGAAGGACTGGGGACACGGATCAGAGAGCTTCGGTTCTGAAGCAGCAGGACCAAGAAACGCATCGATTTGAGGTTAGAAATCCTTAATTTGAAAATGCTCCACCTCAGCTGACCTAGGTCAGTGCAGGAGGGGCAGTCCTTGTCTCCAGCCAGCACAGAGCTAAGGAGCCATGGGCCTGGAAGCTGCCAACCTGCAAGGGAGGCAGCCATCCTCAAGGGTGGACCGTGCTCTGCTCAACATTCTCCTTAAGGTTCCAAAGTCCATGGTTTACAAGCACGCAGAGGTCAGGCCTTTAGTCACTTCATTTTCCATCAGCAGTGCCCATCCGGCTCAGGCACATAAGACGTTGTCGCTGCTTGGAAACTGCGGTTCTGACAAACTGACTGGCCTATGTCCCCTAAACCACATTCCCACATATCAAATTCCCATGGGCCCTCATGTCACCTTGTGGGATGAGGGGGTACACCTAGTGTGTGCAGTTTGCAGGTGCTGACATGCACATCCGGTGTGGCTACACAGCACCGCACGGAAATGGTGGTGTGCATTCCCAAGTGGAGATGCTACTGAGCGACTTTTCAGACTTTATTTGGGGGGGTCTAGCAGTGCCAACAGTGCTGGCGGGTGACTTGAGGACATGACATGCCACTACTTCTTGGCCCGTTTTTCCTTTTCTGTTGTGACCACCACAAAAGGTGGATTAAGCAATCAACAAGTGGAACCAGTGTGGTTTCAGGCAGGACGTCTATAATGCCATTGTAGGGTACGAGTCTCGGCTGCCATCTACCACACAAGCTGACACGTTTGTGAACAGCGTTTATTGGAGGGCGCTCTCGAGTCGGGCAGCTTTACAACTGCAAATCTCGAGAGGCGGAATGTGTCTGGCACAAAACCACCCTGGATTACAAACTAGAGAAACAACAGTTTAAAAAAAGATCTTTACTTCCCTGGTACAAATACAAAAACTAGTTTATGGGAAAAAAAAGTAAAAGTCCAACCCATCGTAGAGGTGGCTAACACTGGACATGTCCCTTTCACCGGCTCATCGACAACAAACGGCAGCCTGGTGGCAGTGGATCCAGGAGATGCTGCACCCACAGTACACTGGCAGGAGCCAGGAGCAGACGCCTAGCTTGGAGACAAATAGGGCGCAGGTATGCGTCGAGTCATTACGTTGTCTTCCGGAACCCTTTCAGAATTGGATAGATGTTCTCAAATGCCTCATAAATCTCTGCTCTGACTTTAGCACCTAGGAGACAAGGTGAAGTGGAGACCAGTGTGAAGAGGGTACAGTTGTTACATGACACCCATAAATCAGAGGCTTTTGAAATGAACAGTGGCATCCCGGGTAGGAACTCTTTTCTTGTTTTTAAAACGAGATTTTCCTAGTGACTTTTCAATTACAGAGCAGCAGGTGTCTGGCACCTCGTCTCCTGTGTCACCACACTCGGAAGGGGTCAGCCGCTCCACACCCTCACCGGCTCCAAGGACCACTCGCTGGCCCAGTGTCAGATGAGGACCATGGCTTGGGGGGGTGACCCACCTCTGTGGGTTTGTTTCCCTTCAGTGTGAGGGTGGGTGGGAGCAGGAGGAAAGAGGGACAAACATCCGTTCAAGTTGCAAGCCAGCGTACCCCACACTGTGAACATCTTCAGTAAACAAAACTCCACCCCTGAAACTATTCAAGCACAATGTCTTCTCTCAACTTACCTGTTAATACAACTTTTCCAGAAACAAAAATAAGAAGAACAATCCTGGGCTTGATCATTCTGTAGATTAAACCCGGAAACAACTCTGGCTCGTAGCTACAAGGAAAATGGCAAGAGCGTTGTAAGAATTAAAAGTGGCTCGTCGTTTGGGTAAAGTGAAGCCCAATGCTGGCCCCAGCACAACTGACAAGCCTGCTTGTTGCCTTCCCTCTTGTGCTTTTCCCCCATTTCCGCTGAATCTGCATCCTAAGAGGAATTCTGTTTCCCCTGCTCACAGATTCCTAAGATCTGAGGCGTCGGTCTGCTCCTCATTTCCGTCCCACTCCTTAAACAAGATCTTTTAGCCATTAACACTGGCAGTTAGCCAAAGGGACACACAGATACTGGCTTGCGCTTGAGGCCCCGAGTGGTTGGTGGCAGTTCAGGACAGGTGCTGGATGGACACCTGGCACAGAAATGAGGCTTTCTAGGTGAATGGACACAGCACACAGACCTGTGCCTGAAGATACATCTAGAGGCTGGAGAAGCAGTGTAGCGGGCACAGAATGAGAGTGTAGGGGAGACAGGGCATTTGGCTTTTCAATCCTCAACAAGTAGCAGAAAAACTAGGTGGAGAGAGTTTTCCTATCTGTGTTCATACTCTGCAGGTAAGTCTGATAGGAGGGGACAAAGATTCAGACAAGGAAAATACAAGAGAGATTGTAGGTTCAATTCATTCGTTCAAAACCTATTTATTGACACTAAACAATATAGGCAGTCTGTCTGATTACTCCAAGAACAAGCAAGTTGCTTGCCCAGGAGACATCATCAAGGCAAACCCCCTTCTAAGACTAAGACTCAGTGGGAATATATGCTCTGACTGGTGACCATGTTTGTCACCGATAAAGGGGAAGTGAGGGAAAAACAGCAATGAAGCTGTGAGCTAAGCCCTACAACATTCAGTAGATTCCTGAGAACCCAGGTGGAGACCTGGTTGGCCAGCAGTGTGGCAAGACCTGGGGACCCTTGGGCCCAGAGTCAGTGACGTAGCCACAGAGGACTAGAGTGGAGAGTGAAGCGTCCAGCTGATAAGAAGAGAGGGCATATGCATAAGAACATCCACACTTGCAGATAATACCCACTTAACCTGACTTCAATGACTGGATGATCAGAGCTCAACTAGAAGAAGAAAGAAGAGGAAAAAAAGAGTAATCTGATACAATTTGATGAACTTGACCAACACCTATGGATGCAGTAGCTCAAAAGAGGGAACAAATCCTACAGCAAGAATCATTCCCACCCTCTCCATACACAGAGTAGACAGGGATGGGCAACTTGGACATTGGCTACCCAAAATGGGGGGCGGGGGGCTACAAAGGCAAGAAGTGATTGGCTTACAAGCTTTCAAGAGGGAACCTAGAGCCAGAGGGCATAAAGGAAGGTAGAATCTCCACTGAGTAGTATCCAATCTGTCTGGGTGGAGCTGATGAAAGGAGTTGCAGAGAGGACTCTTGTGGTACAATAGTGAATAATGGTTTCCAGGACTGACTGTGAGGGTTGGAAATGTAAAGGTAGATGTTTTATTGCAAAAGGAGGGGAGTGATTGACTTTGCAGTCTAGGAGCGGAGGCCCCTGGGACCATCAGGGGAGAATGAGTGTGGGACCCTACCCAGAGAAGCAGTGATGCCTGAGATGGAGGCAGAGACGATGACGTGGAGAGATGAAGCAGCTGGGGACTTTAGACCCAGAGAGGGAGAGGGGCTGTGGGCTGACGATCAGGGGGCAGTCTTGCAGGGTATACCCTTTGGTTGGCTGATGATGCATGGAGGGGATTGTAACCATGGCAATGAAATGATAGACAATAGGATGAATGTAAAGATAATGTTCTCCCATGTAAACTACCACATAATTCACAATAAAACATTAAAAAAACACAAAAAACCTATTTACTGAGCAACCCCGTTAGCAGCTTTCTGTCCCGTTGCCTCCCTTCAGTGGCATGAAAGCTGCTAATGGGGTTAAAGATCTAAGTCCATGCAAGCTTTGCCCTGCCCAGCACATACCTGCTGAACTGTTGATGGGTGAGCACAAGGCCCTCTAGGCGGATGGGAAACTTCACGTCACAGCTCCCCACCATATTCTGAATCTTGAAATCCAAGAATTTGGCTGGAAAGCCCAGCTTCTGCACAACTCTGGCATACTTTCTTGCTGCTAGCCTGGACTGCTCTTCACTAAGGAGGAAAAATGTGAGACATTTATTCTCAAAGCCAGACAAAGTAATGATTTAGATGAGTCACTTAGAAAAAAAAAACCCAAGTTAAGAAAAACCATGTACACTGGTCATTCTTCTTCCAATAGGAGAACTAGTTGACAGACACGACACGGCAAGCCAGTCTTACGAGGTATTCCCACATCCCTGGCCCCTTTCCGTAGATGAAGACTAAGAGCTTCGTTGTGAGGAAGGCATTCACACTCTTACATTGATCCCCTCTGTATTCTGCTGATAAAATGACTTGGCAACATGGAGCTTGTGAGAAACAGAAGAGCTGCAACAATGCCACCCGGGCAGACGTGAGGCCGGTCCCCCTCTCCCCTTTGGGGAGAATCGCAGTACTCCCAGACACATAATTCAGTCTGCAAACACTCTGGGACAAAAGACTAGACACCACACAGAAACTAGCATACCAGTGTACCGCTAGGTCTGTCCCTGAGAAAACGAGCAGACTGGTCACTGTGCTGGGGCCACACTTCAGAGGCACCCAGTCTCCACGGACATCCTGACCTCCTTTTACAAGCACACTTAACCTGAGCTGCTTTGGTCTCAGACTGTATGACCCAGATGTTACTCACCCCCATTGTCACTTATCAAACCTGGGGCCCTGCCGGCTGTGCTGCCACAAACAGATATTTTTAGAGGGGCGCACTGTTCAACCCTGTGTGACCCCAACATCCAAGACTGGTCAATAGCTGGGGCCAGCAGTAGTCACAGGGACATGGACCGGGATGCCCCCATGGTTCTGATGTCTAGTGATTCTTGATCTGTTTCTTTCCAACTGAGGATGAACTTGTGTTTACGGTTTTTTCCATTAAGAAATCTTGATTTGTATTTTCAATGGCAAATTACATCAGACATGCACAAGATGCAACCCAACAGAGCGGATTAGCAAGCACCACCCCCAAGTGTACACCCAACGTGAGCTGCCGTTCTAATAGGAAAGCAGCAGTAACTGGGCTAGCCATGGGCAGCCCCTGGAACCTACCTTTTGGCGCCGGTGCACACCATCTTTCCAGAACTGAAGATCAGAGCTGTGGTCCGGGGTTCTCTAATTCTCATGATCACAGCAGCAAACCGCTACAATGGTCACAGAACAAAATTCGCGAGGTTTGTCAGAACTGGACGGTGAAAGAGTGCCACAAGTGGTGAGCTGGGCCAGTCCGTGGATGACTGTCCACCAGGTGGCCATGCTGCCCTCACACCAGCTCCGTTGCCTGCCCCCACCTTACGTTCCGCTGCTGCTCTAACATGTAAAACACTGGTAAACTCTTGTTTTATAAATGTGAACTTCTGCGCAAATACACCGGCCTCAAGAAGGAACAAGCAGCAGGCTCTTAGGGGGCTCCTCCCATTTGCTCAACTTCCAGAGCCAGAACCCACTAACACGCACTGTTTTTATCTTTAGTTCCTACTTTTGATTTTTTTAACATGTTGGCTCTTCAACAGACTGTTTTTCTTGCTAAAATTGAACCTCAAGGAGAACATTTTTTCACTGTAGATTACTAAGTTACATAAAAAGTGACATTACTTTCAAATAACTTACTTAACTGCTTAAGAAAAAAGCCATGAAGTACTCCTAATCAACAAGACTACTCAACAAATTTACCATTTTACTTCAGAAATTAGTCTATATCTTTTCTCTGATTTTACTACCACATAAAATGCTAGCATGGTATTCCAGGTTATGGAAAGGTCAGGAGAACCCTTGGAATTCCCTGACGGGGTTTTATTGGTCCAATAACTATTAGCACTTCATTAAAAACTGTAACACATAAAACTGTATGTTCCCAAGTCTTCCCTTACAGGTAGCCCCTTTACATGGTCTCCCACATTGGAGTGTGAACAGCATGCTGGGAAAGCATGCTCTGCCAGTCCCCTCCCAGGAGCTCCCTGTGGCTCTGTCTGTGGAGGCCCCAGCACATGCTCTGGTTCTACAGCAGCGTCGCTCACTGTACTGTGCGTGTTGTGACACACATTTTCGCTGCCGGGGGAGCCTGCAGTCAGAGGCCCGTGGCACAGATTTCCCTAATCCCCTCCTTATCAGAAATTGTAATGAGCTGCTTGTGCTCACTGTCTAACTAACCATCAACTCCTGGCCACTCTGGTCTCATCCATCAGAACATCACTCTGCATCCTGCTCCAACAGACAGACAGACAGACAGCTCACTCTGCTGGTGTCAAGAGCCTCAACACACTCCTGGTCCTTTTAGATACTTTTCTGCTTTGTCATTTCCTGTGAGACACGTGACAGCAGTTCTCACCTTGGGGTTATACTCAGCATTTCGGGCACGAAGTGCAATGGTCTTTAGGTCAAGTTTACAACCAAGGTTCACTGTGGAGACGATATTTCTGCAAGAAATTTGAAAAGAAAGAATCCATTAAATTATTAAACTTCCCGGTCTGCATGTTGAGTGAGTATCCAGGGCCTGACTCCTGCCCTGGGTTTGGTCACAGGGCTGCTGGACCAGTGTCCACTGGGACATTTCACACACACACACACTGCGTCACTCACTGCCTGTAACAACTGCAAAGTGGAGTGTCTCTGTTCCCACCTCTCAGTCCATGTGGGCCCAGGACCAAGTCATTAAGGAGACCACCTCTGACACCACCACATAGTAACTCCCCACCAATCCTCAACAAGATGAACTGATACAGGGGACGCAACGATGGAATCAAATCAGCAACGACTGTGGCACAGGGCTGACAGCAACAAGCAGGGAAGCAGACGTCACCACTGAAGTAACTTTCTGAATCTCTGATTCAGGAACAGACTGCAAAAATCACTTCATTAGAGTTTTTTCACAGGAATTTAAACACAGGCTGGCTTTCCACAGCTCCCCCTGTCAGAACACGTGCCTGAGTATGTCAATAGCTCATTTTTTTCATTTCTATGTCATCTTTTGTGTACACACCTGCCTTTGTCTATTTGGGGGAATAAACATCACAAAACGCAGCTGTTGGTGACTCTAGACACAGCGGCCTAACGTTTCACTGCTATGACTTGTCTCACCCTCATCACTAAAGTCAGTCCTGTGTCATGCTTTCTGGTACATCTAAGAACTGTCAGACACCTTCCTCTTGCTGCCATCCTAAGAGGAAAATTCCTAACTCGCTCTACGACAGCTAAGAGACATCTCGTATGCCTTCCTGAGAGGTGTTCCACTCTGGGTATCACAGTGAGAAGCTGAAGATTACAGACACTCAGAGGGGTCAGTCTGTCATCAGCCAAAACCAGATGAGGGCCAGACTGTGGAGCAGCCCATCAACTGCTCATATGCAAATTCGGGCTGAAGCTAAAAAAAATGAAAACAAGGCCACAAGAGCCAAAATATACCCTTGAACACACCCCTCCTGAATTTAGAAATGATCTCAAGAACAGATTTGAGGCATTAGACATGAATGGCTGAACACCGGAAGAGTTGTGGATGCCATCAAAAACATCATACAAGAAGAAAGCAAAAGGTCATTAAGGAGACAAGGAAGAAAAGACCAAAATAGATGTTAGATTCTGAAACTTGCTCTCCAGCGTAGAGATGCTACAGCAAATGAAATAAATGAGGTAAAAGATCTGAAAATAAAAATTTCAAAGGGCAGCTCAAGAAGACAAAAATCAGGTATTACAATGAAATGTGCAAAGACCTGGAGTTAGAAAACCAAAAGGGAAGAACACACTTAGCATTACTCCAGCTGAAAGGACAGAAAAATTCAAGCTTCAACTTGCAATATTGAAGGAGTCTTTGAAATAAATATTGAATGATGCAGAAAGCATCAAAAGAAGATGTAAGGAATACAGAATCAATGTACCAAAAAGAATCCAGCCATTTCAAGAGGTAGCATATGATCAAGAGCCAATGGTTCTAAAAGAAGGAGTTCACGGTGCACTGAAGGCACTGGCAAAAAACAAGTCTCCATGAATTGATGGACTACAAATTGAAATCTTTCAACAAACTAATGCAGCATTGGAGGTACCCACTCATCTATGCCAAGAAATTTCCAACCGATTGGAAGTGATCCATACTTGTGCCCATTCCAAAGAGAGGTGAGCCAACAGAATGCGGAAATCGTCAGACAATATCAATACCTCATGCAAGTAAAATTTTGCTAAAGAGAAGTCAAAAATGGTTGCAACAGTACATTCACAGGCAACTGCCAAAGAATCAAGCTGGATTTAGATGAGGACAAGGAAAAAGGGATTATCATGCTGACATCAGATGGATCTTGACTGAAAACAGAGAATACCAGAAAGATGTTTACCTGTGCTTTATTGACTATGCAAAGGCTTTTGACTGTGTGGATCATGACAAACCACAAATAACATTTTGAAAAATGGGTATTCCAGAACACTTCATTGTACTCATGAGGAACCTGTACATAGACCAAGACGTAGTCGTTTGATCAGAACAAGGGGACACTGAATCAGGAAAGGTGTACACTAGGACTATATTCTTTCCCCACACGTATTCCATTTGTATGCTGAGAAAATAAACGAAGAAACTGGATTATCTGAAGAACAATGTGACATCAGGATTAGAGGAAGACTCATTAGCAACCTGCAATATGCAGATGATACAACCTTCTTTGCTGAAAATGGAGAATTACAATACTTACTGATGAAGACCAAAGACCACACCTTCAATATGGGTTGCACCTCGGTGTAAAGAAAACAAAAATAACTCACCCCTGGATCAACAGATGATAATAAATGGAGACACGACTGAAGTTGTCAAAGACTTCATTTTGCTTGGGTCCACTATCAATTGTCACAGAAGTTGCAATCAAGAAATCAAACGACAGATCTGCACAAGCCCTCTTCAAAGTGTTCACAAGCAAAGATGCCCATCTGTGGTTTCAGGTACGACTGATCCATGCCATGGGACTTTCAAATACCTTATTTGCATGTGAAAATTGGGACACTGAGTAAGGAAGATGATAGAAGAATTAACACATCTGAGTTATAGCTGGAGAAGAATATTAAAAGTACCAAGGGCTGCTAGAACAAGCAAATCTGTGTTGGAAGAAACCAAGATTTTCTCTCTCATACGTCAGACATATTATCAGGAGGGAGCAGTTCCCTGAGAAGGACATCATGCTTGGTAAAGTGGAGGGTCAGCAAAAAAAAGGAAGACCTCCCAACAAGATGGTCCGGCACAGTGGCAGCAGCAATGGGCTCAAGCAAAGACTGTGAGGACGGTGAAGAACTGGGTCCCTATGAGTCAGAATCGACTGGATGGCACGGAGCCACAGCACCATCCCTTTACCCAAGGGCCTGTGATGAGGCAGAGCAGTGGGATCCACGCCAAGAACCCTGGGTACAGAGCAACGAAGGCAGCAGGACATGGTCGTGTGAGACAGCGTTTCCAAGCCAAGCCCACAGGCATCACTGACAGACTCTCTCACAGGACCTGGTCTGCTGCTTCCTTCAAGTGCTTTACATACGACACCTGTCACTCAGGCAGAAAAGCCCACTGAGCACAAGAAGACAGCCTCCCCCAGATGACACGGCTCCTTCCACACAGCCCTCCCTCCAGCCCTAGCCCTCACAGAGCACGAAAGGACTGGCATGAAGGACTCTGACGCTATAATTCAGTTTCTCTTCCCAAGAACAGAAGCTACCACAACAGTCCCAGGAAATGGCGTGCCAACTGGAGAGCCACATTCGGATTTGGCTGCAGATCTCACGGCCCAGTCCCAGGAACGCAAGCCCTCAGTGCTCGGACACACAGCTCTGGGTCTTTTGCTGCGACTTTGATCAGACTCACTCCTGCCTACCTTCCTCAGAGGAGAGGAGCAAACTTCCATGTGCTGAGGCCCTAAGGTGGCCCTCTAACATGCCCCATGCCCATTGGCCGTCACCCCTATAACATGAGGACCGTGCCTTGAGCACGGCAGCCTGTCTGAAGACAACTGTACCACAGGAAGACGCCAAAAGGACTCACTGAAGTTGAGGCACAATCCCAGAGCTCTCGGAAGCCGGCGTGGCAGGAGTAATGGGGGTCATGGGCGTCATGGGGGACGGGTAGACGGGGGTGGTGCCTGGCAGAGGCGCCGTGGTCAGAGTCTGTGAGTGGAAGAGCTGTGGTGTTTGCCCCGTGGTCCCTGGGGGCGCCTGCTGAGCTGTGGACTGTTGAGCGGCTGCCGTCTGCTGTTGCTGCCGCTGCTCTTCCAAAATGGACAGGCTGTTGGTGCTCTGGATGGGCTGTGGGGTCAGGCCGGTGCCGAATGGCATCATGGGGCTAAAGATCGGGATCCCAGGAGTCATGGCGCTCTACAGAAAGCGAGAAAAGGGGGGGTCAGGCTGGCTGGTGTATGGCGGCTCTGAGGCTTGCCCTGGTGGAACCTGTAGAACCAGTGGGCGGTCAGCAGAGGAGAGAGTGAAGGAGGGGCCCTGACCCTCTCCGCCTGCCGTGTTACCTGTGGGGAGGCCAGCCCCTGGGCAAACGTCTGGAGGCTGTTGTTCTGATCCATGGTGCTCACAGCTGTGTGGAGCTGTCCTCGGCACTCAGTCTTCTCCAGAAAGCATCACAGCCAGTCTTCTAGCAACTTCCTGCACTCTGGGTTCTCTTCGCACACAACAAGACGCTGCTGCTCTGAACAAAGTGTCAGGTTTAGGGTAAGCTGTACAGCCCTACACACCAGGTACATGGTTGTAAAGCAAATAACAGAAAAACCTACCAGCCAATAAACTGATCTGATAAACATTTCTTTTGGCCTTATAATCTTGGAGCCTAATCTTTCCACATTTCCTGGAGCTATAAAATTACCAGCTATACAAAGCACTTAAGTGGATTGGCACAGTGGCAGCAGCAATGGGCTCAAGCTTAACTACAATTGTGAGGATGGCGCAGGACTGGGCAATGTTCCACTCTGTTGTGCAGAGGGTGGGTATGAGTCTGAACCAACGCCACAGCACCTAACGACAACATACAAAGCAAAGGTTACATACCAATCTTTACTGAATTGTTACATGTTCCAGTAAATACTCCAGTATTGTACAAAATTAAGGTGTCAAAATGAACATTAAAAACTTTTACAGTAGGCAGAGAAAACAAATTCCTAAGAAAGGTGTAATATTGATCCAGAAACATTTATTAAGCATGGTACACACAGAACTGTTAATCCAAACTTCCACTCAATTGTTTATCTTCCACAAAGCCTTGGGTAGAAGGTTTCATCAACACTGAATTGGATTGGCTACACTTCAGTGTAGCTCTTACTTTAATAAAAGAATTTGACGGAAGCTTTATAGACACAGAGATATACAAGAGGGCTTCAAACAGTTCATGGGGAAATTCCATGATCTTTTTTATTATACCTTTCCAAGAAGCTTTTGAAGTTCCCTTGTATGAAGCTTGTTTTTGTTCTTGTTAGGTGCCATCAGGGCGACCCTATGCACAACAGAATGAAACCCTGCCGGGTCCTGGGCCTACCTCACAATGGTTGCCACGCTTGAGCCCATTGATGCTACCACTGTGCCAATCCATCTCGAGGGGGGTCTTCCTCTTTTTCACCAGCCCTTCACTTTACCAAATAGGATATCCTTCTCCAGGAACTGGTTCCTCCAGACAGTATGTCCAAAATATGAGAGACAAAGTCTGGCCATCCTGGCTTCCAAGGAGAATTCTGGCTGCACTTTTTTCCAACACTGGTCTGTTTGTTCTAGCAGCCCATGGTACTTTCAATCTTCTCCTCCCACACCATAACTCAAATGTATCAATTCTTCCACAGTCTTCCTTAGTCACTGTCCAACTTTCACATGCACATTAGGTTACTGAAAATACCATGCCTTGGGTCAGGCACACCTTAGTCCTCAAATTGCCATTTTGCTCTTCAACACTTTAAAGAGGTCCTGTGCAGCACATTTGCCTAATGCAATACATCATTTGATTTCTTGACTGCTGCTTCCATGAGTGTTGATGGTTGATCCAAGAAAAATGAAGTCTTTGACATAAAAAGACTATATAAAGAAGGCAGTGTTCCTATAAATGTAATAAGCTTACCTCTTAAGAACACATAAATGCAAATTGTAAGTTGTAGCTGTTTCTGGCTTTTGGAAAATTTTCATCTCTTTACTAGTTAGACACTTGCAGCACTTCTAGAGGGAAGAACCAAGATAGCTGAAAGAGGGTTCTGAGGCTTGCCCAGGTAACTGTGAGAGCAGACACGGAACTGCTGGACTATATCCAGTTACCCTGCAGAGCAGAGGGCCGAGGGCCAGCTGTTCCTGTGAGAGTTCAGTTCAGATGCCCATCACCACCTCACTAGACATCCCCACATACAACTGCTTATGGTCCACACGTACAGAACTACCTGCACTCCACGCCTTGCCAAACAGCCAGCAGGCATCAAACATATACTGAGCAAAAGACCCCACAATTGACATGCTCATCACTGAAAACCTTAGTAACATTAAAATTTTTAAACTCTGATTCGGGAAGTTATCAGAGATAGGAAAATTAGAATTTTCTTGACATTGTTATCCTATATATCTTATCAACTATGTAGCTATCTGACATCTTGCTTTTGTGAGAACAGTAAAAATTTTATTTAGCATATTAACGATGTGTTAGGCAAGAGTCATTTCTCCATTTACACATATCACTGATTTTCCCATTAACAACCTGGTCTTTGGAACTTAATCATGTGGATAAGTTACCACTAGATGTAACACAAGGACTGCAGATACACAGAGGAAGAGGATATAGTCCTAGGCAGCAGAGAGTCCTGGTGTGGCACTGCGGGTTAATGTGCTGGACTACAAGGTCAAACTCACCAGCCGCTCCTCAGAAACCCTATACAGGGTCGCTAAGAGTTGGAACCAACTCAACAGCACTTAACAACAGCAACATCAGAGAGTTCAATTAAAAAGGCATGCTCAAGTATTCTAGTAGAAGGCACACACTAGCTAAGCTGCTGGGGTAGAGAGATCAGCATCCATGCCTTACACATAGAACAGTGTCTAACAGATGTATGCAATCATGAGTGACTGAGTAGACAAACATATGCTATACACAGAGCATATCATAGATGAGTGAACACACGCTATACACAGCACATGATAACGGGTGGATGCACACACTACACATGGTACATGATCACAGGCGGATGGGTGGATACACATGCTACATATGGTACACAATCATAGGATGAGTGGATGCACACATTACATACAGCACATGATCATAGGTGGAGGAGTGGATGCATATGCTACACACGGTATATTATCGTGGGTGGATGAGTGGTGGACACATGCTATACACAGCACACGATCATAGGTGGTTGAGTGGATACAAATGCTACACACAGCACATGATCACAGGTGGATGAGCGGATACACACACTACACGTGGTACAAGATCACAGGTGGATAAGTGACCACACTACCCATGGCACATGATCACAGGTGGATACACATGCTACACACGGTACATGATCACAGGTGGATGAGTGGACAGACGCTACACACAGTACAAGATGACAGGTGGATGGGTGGATACACACACCACACACGGTACACGATCACAGGGTGAATGACGGGAAACACATGTTATGGAAGGGAGGACACACTAACGGCCAAGCACTCTGGAGAGAAAGCAGTATTTTCAAAAAGCAGGGACTTGGGTCTAGCACAGTGAGTAGGAATTCACATGTCAGTATTTCAAGCAAAAGGCAGATCAAGCACAAAGAGACAAAGACAAAAGAGCATGCAATCTGCAGCAAAGAGTTTAGTTATGTGCAATGCAGATCCAAGAGACAAGACAGCAAATATGAGGGGCTTCAAAAAATTCTTGGAAAAATGGAAATTTTTAACTAACTTTTTGAAGTCCCTTTGAACAGTCAGGGTCACTTTGTCAAGGTTCTAGGCACGACCACATACACAGAAAGAGCAGTTACAGGCTCTGAAGTACACCCCAAACATATGTGTTTACAAGGCCTACTTTGGTAAATGTGGGTGAATCCAGGAGCAAAACTGGAGGCTGGCGTTCAGTTTAAGGGATCATTGAAGTGGTTGAAATAAAAGGTAAAGGGGGCAGGATTGAACCAAAGCCAAACACTCAGGGAAGTGACAACTCCTACCCACCCTAAAGGGCAGAGTCGAAATGCTCCTTAGAGTTTCCGAGGCTGTCAGTCTTTATGGGAACAGGCAATCTCATCTTTCTCCTATGAAGTGGCTGGTGGGTTTGAACTGTCAACCTTGTATCTTGCAGCCCAATGCTCACACCACTGTGACATCAGTTCTCCTTAGGCTTTAAGGCATTCATAAATATGACTTCAGAACCTTTGTTGACTCTAAGCCCTTTCTGGCAAACTAAAGAAACAGGAAGACCTAGGTTTGGGGGTCTCAAGAAATCTCAGTCCCAGGATGGCACTCCCCAACCGATCATCACTGTTGTTAAGTGCCATCGATTTGACCCGACTCATTGAGACCCTGCTAGTGGATCTGAACTGTCGACCTTGCAGGTAGCTGTTCAGTGCTCACCCTACAGCGCCACACCAAGACTCCATCCTAAGGGCAGTTATCACCACCCTGACTTTTCCTTACAGAAGTGAACTGTTCATCTTTTGGAACTGGAAGCATCAAATTCGATAGCTTTCCTACGCAATGACTGACGAGGGAACAGACGGATTAGTCCGCGCCGACGAGGGGCTGCATAAATCAGTGGAGGGATGCCGGCCTTGCGAATTCAGAGGAGGGTGTTACAGTCACAAGTCTCTCTCTGCCCGAGACAAACGTTATAACGGCCGAGGCGCAACGGCCGAACAGAACGGCCGCGACAGAGGGGCTGCGGGTGAGGACCAGACCGGGCCTCAGGGGTCTTCGCTCTCCGCCCGGGCCCCTGCGGGCCCCGCGCCCGCACCCAAGAAGCCACCTTCGGTACTGCTTGCTCTGGCGGTCGGGGCCGGGGAGCCAGCCGCGGCCTGCGCCCTTCACTCCCGGCCCGCCATCGCCCGATGGCTCGCTACAGTCGCCGTGTCTGTGCGAGCCCGGCCTCCCGTACTCACGGCTTCCAAACTACAGGGAAAGTGGGGAGGTGGAAGGACGGCTACCTGAAGGTCCTGCGCAGTCCACCGACCGCTCGCAGACAAGCTCAGACTCAGGGAGCCCAGGCTCCCGCCGCGGCGACCCTGCTCGACCCTACCGAATGCCGCGCGCTCTTATGATATCACTTCCGCCCGCTCGTAGTTTGGCTTCAAGCAGGATCACGGCTGGAGCGGCGGCCATGGGAATTGTGGGCCCTACGTCAGTTCCCTGGATTCCCTTGGGGAGAAGTTCTTCCGGGATTCCGCTTTAGCTGAGTGTTTTCTGATTGGGTCTTATGGGTGTGGAAAAGCTATTGAGGGTTTGTTTGTTTGTTTTGCTATAATAAACAATTTATTATCGTGGTCTCCAGAAATTGCCGAAATTATTTTTTTTTTACATTTCTTTACATGTCAAGTTTTCTTTGGCAAATTTATACCAAATATTA